AGGGCTAAGGACGATGAGGCCATCCCGGAGCCAGGCTTCTTGGCCCCCAGAGCTGATACTTTTACCAGCATTCCTGTCTTCCTCCTTTTTCCCCCACCCATCTTGTGAGTGGGATCAGAGGTCTGACTCAGCTCCCCATCAAATGCTGGTCCTCATAAGTTTCATATTGGAAGTAGAAATATGTTACACTCTCCCACTCCCATGCCAGCCATGAGCTATTCCTGGGCAGTGTGTTTTCTGGAACCTGAAAGGCAGTGCAGACTTTGCCGGAGTTTTGGGAAAATGGTTTTGGCTGTTCTTGCCTGGACACCCAGCCCCGAGGGTAGGGATTTGGAGACTGGCTCTCCAAACTCAGGGACTGTCAGTGCCGGGGCCTGGCTCCAGATCTCCCTCTTTATGTATTTGTTCTGCATTGGCAAGTCCGAGCTTGGATAAACATCTTTAAATCCTCTTTGGGATTTTGCAGTTTTTTTACATTTGTGAACCAGAGCAGTTGCAGATGGCACGGTGAGCTAGATTTTTTTTTTTTTTTTTTTTTTTAATGTTTGGGATGGTAGGTTAAAAAAAAAAATCAGGTAACTGCCAGGAGGAATTGCTGTTGCATCCTTTGACAGAGAACTGAGGCAGTAGTGTGCTCATGAAGCAGGGACGTGTGGGTATTGGGTATGTCTGGCCACCCAGCAGATGTTTATCTGTGCCTGAAATGTGCAAGGCATGGAGCCAAACTCAAGGAGAAGCAGCAGCGTCGAATACAAAAATAAGATCCGCTGTCAAGGCGAGGATGGTCCACTGGGAAATAGACGTGTGCTCACATTTGCATTATCCACAGTGCTTGGGTAGGTGGAAGTGTGAGGGTGATTATTTTAATTATCCCTGGACTCCTTCCCTGGCATTTATCGGCTGTGGCCTGACCTGGCATCGCACTATGAACTGATGTGGTCAGAATCAAGGAAGGAACTCTCCAGACTGTAGAGAGCTAGAGGCTGGGCCAGTGTCTCCTTCATACCTCTCAGGGACAAGGCCCTCTAAGAATGGGTAGAAGCTTCAGGAGAGTGAGCCAAGGATCACCCAATGCAGGCTCTCCCCGACACCAAACTCCCAGTCACTGGTTATGAGGGTCCAATGGGGGGGGCAGTCTTGGGTGTGCATTTTTGCACCTGTGTGAGCATGTGTGTGGAGGCTCCTTCAACATTTCCTCACCTTGTATTTGGAAACAAGCTCCCTCCCAGAACCTCACCACCTCAGCTAGACTAGCTGGTCAGAAAGCCGTGGGGATTCTCCCGTCTCTACCTCTCCGGCACCTGCTATTGTGCCTGGCTTTTATGTGGGTCCCGGGGGTTGAACTCGGGTCCTCAGTCTTGTATGGCAAGCACTGTATCGACTGAGCCATTCTTCTAGTCCCTTTTGTTTCGAGTAGCCCTGGCTCACTAAGTTGTCAAGGGTAGCCTCGAACTCCTGATCTCCCGCTACCAGGCCAGGCTTAGGTACAGACTCTTCCACGTGCCCCCAGGACCCTGACCAAGCAGCCCAGCTGAGGACACAGCCCATCCTCCAAGCTCCCCTCTACCCTCCCTGCTGGTTTTCCTTAAACGTGTCTCCGTGTCCCCCAAATATGAAGGATTGGGGGGGGGGGCTGAAGACATCAAGAAGCAGACTCTAGCAAGCTCCCGGCCTCTATTTGCTTAACAGCAGGATGCCGCAGGTGGACAGCCAAAAGCACTCTGCCCACTTTCCTGTTAGACAGAGCCCAGGTTGACCATCGAGGATGCCTGCCTCCTCATCTTCCTGGAGATGGACCAGAGGAGTCTTCTACAAGCCTTCCTAGAGCAAGGTGGAGTACCTGTAATCATAGCACTTGGGAGGCTGAGGGAGGAAGATTTGGAGCTGGAGTTCAGTCTGGGCTACAGCGTGAAGCTTTGTCTTTAAAAGTATAGAAAACAATCAGCCTTACAAACTAGCCATCGTCGGCCTTTTATTTGCCCCATCCCCACCCCGAGTTGTCACCGTGAGCGGCTCAGTGTCCTTCTCCTTTGTCCTGTGACTTCTCCAGGACTGGAGTGTTGAAGATGCTGTGTAGACTGGAATTGCAAGACATCTCTTTAGGAGCAACTTATTTTCCGGGTGGCTTGGATGTGTATGTGAACTATACATGTTAATGAACTTACCTCCCCCCCCCCCCTATGAATCTTGTCTTTTGTGAAAGGTGTTTCATCAAGCTAAGACCCCTGGGAATTGTTCTTCTCTGACACCTCTAAACTCTCCTGCACCTGGCTGGGACTGTGACTTTCTGCACCATACCCCATGTCCCTTTCTCCCTCATGCCTGGTATCTTATGCACCCTTTCCAGTCCAGCTGCGTCCTCAGCCTCCATCTTTCTGATGTCTCTATGCTACGCCCCCCCACCCCCACCCCCACCCCGGTACTCTGCATGGCCCATTTGTAGCAGGAGGTGGATGACAGTCTCCCATGAGCCTCAGCAGCCATACATTCTTGGAGTTAAAAAATTTCGTCTTCTGTCAGCATTCCAAAGACAGCATTTGTGACATTATTTTGGCATCCTCAAGGCCAACCTCAGCCACATGCATCCTTGGTGATGATAAATATTTCTTTCCTGGGATTAAAAAAATCTCGTCTCTGCCACAGTTTGATGCCTCATAATTGGCCAACAAATCTTTGTAGGATGGATTTGAAGGAGGCATGAGGTAAGACGAACACCAGGGAGTGTTTGTTACTAAAATTATTTACAAGAAAGAGCAGAGAGCTGAAGTTACAGATGACAACCGCCAGCCTGGCGGATGGCCCGTGTATCCCGGCTTCCTGTGAACAGTGGGAGCAGCATCTTAAGGAACCATATTCCAGAAACCAGCCACACTGGCCGCCTGCCCCGCTGGGAAGATGAGCAGGAGAGGGGAAGGGAAGCTGGTGAGCCCCTGGGCTGCCGTGTGTCTAGAAGAGAAGTGAGCATTTCAGTGGAATGTTGACCTATATGTGCTACCTTTCCAGTATTTCCTCTCACCGGGCTAGTAATGGAATCATTAATGATAGTTTTAAATTTAGACAGTGCTTTCCACCTGGGCACGTATGAGGTTTAATAACCAATAAGTTGATCGCTTGGGAATGTGTTCTAATAACTGTCTTTTTCGCAAATGAAAGAAAAGGACCCCCAAAGAACTAGGAAGTTTCTGGACAATGGCACAGTTGTTAAAATCTGAGATCGACTCGACTCCTGGACACAGCAAAGCCACATAGCACAGCCAGCTGGAAGGCTAAGGGTCATTGTTCCTGTGCTGGACAGCTAAGTGCTGTGATCCAGTATGCCAAATTCTCCAGCCTTAACTCTTCCCTCGGGCTTCTCCAGAGAGACTCCGAGGAGAGCAGTGGACCCTAGAGTGACAGTGTCCTGGCCTGGGGTTGAACTTCTCCTGTGGTCCTGCCTAGATGTCAGGCCTGCAAACCTCTAGGCTAACTGATTCATTACAGGATGTCTTAATTAGGGTTTTATTGCTGTGAAGAGACACCATGACCACAGCAACTCTTATAAAGGAAAACATTTAATTGGAGCTGGCTTACAGATCGGAGGTTTAGTCCATTGTCATCATGGCAGAAAGCATGGCGGCCTGCAGGCAGACATGGTGCTGGAGAAGGAGCTGAGAGTTCTACATCTGGATCAGCAGGCAGCTGAAGGAGACAGTGAGCCACACTGGTAGCTTGAACATGTAAGACCTCAAAGCTCCGCCCCCCAACAGTGACACGCTTCCTCAAACAAGGGCACACCTACTCCCAACAAGGCCACACCTCCTAATAGTGCCACTCCCTATGGACTTCTGGGGGCCATTTTATTCAACTACCACACAGGTCTTGATTGACTTCTTCATGTCCCGTCAGGATTCTGGGATAAGAGAACCAAGGCTAAGCACCCACCCACCTGTCTTTGGAGAAGGATAATGGGAAACGACTTCTAACATCCTTTCCCCAGCCCCAGGCCTCCTCCAAGTCACTGGTCAACTCTTGGTGATGGAAGACATTTCTAATGACCTAAGACTTCTCTGCCACTAGGTACCATGGCAGTGACAGACCCAGCGAATTGGCTTGTAAATGTCACCTCCTTGCTAACCCGAGCTCTCCCAGCAAACATAACATCAAGTATGATAGAGCTGTGTATAGCAAGGCTGTTGGGAAAAGTCATTTACTCCTTTTTTTTTAAGTTGTTTTAAACACAGCAGTGTGTCCCAGCACCCAGGATGTGTATCATGGAAGAAACTCAGAGTCTGACATCTTTGGGGTTCTGTCTCAGGCCATTAACTTAATGGCTCTAATTCTTGGAAGCTCCAGTAAGGAGGAGGCTTGCCCTGTTACATAAACATATTCATCAGCCTGAAAAAAAAAAAAAAGTGCATACTGTTTTCTGAGTAATGGTCATTGAAAGTAATTCTTTGTGTTTTCCATCTGATGACTGATTGCTGTGGAATATTCTTTAGGATCTTTGGAGGGGAGGGATGGTAGCAGTTCCAAGCAGCTCCCCGAACTACAGAATTTGCTTTCCTCCAGTCAGACAGGATCTTGGGCTTGAGAAGACAATGTCAGCTGCAGAGAAAGTTGCCAGAGCAGAGTGGTCCCCTGCTGCCCTCGGAGTGCTCAGAGGACAGACGTCAGGGCAGCCAAGTTCTGAGTGCAAAGGAAGAGCCCACGGTTTCTTTGCCTCGAAGGAGAATGTCTGGAGTGTATCCTCCCCAGCAGCCTAGCTGAAGGAGTGCCTGCCTCCCTCTTCCTGCCAATCCTTACCTGGAGACCAGGCAAGGGGGGCGGGGCGCTACCAACCATTCTAAGTACAGCGAAGACAAGGAGGCAGCTAATTGAATTTAATTCACCGAGGTGGCAACCAATTTTATGCCAGAGCTGGTAAATATTTTGTGCGCAGTGCTCATCTCCTGAACACACAATGCCAATTATTCTTGCAAGACAGATTGTGCATTTGAAGGGCAGAATGGTGGGGAGTCAGGGAGTAGCTGGCAGGGACCCCAGGCCTGAGCTCTGGCCCTCCTTAGTGGGTGGGCCTGTGTTCCCCTGTGCCAGGGCCTGTTGCATGATGGGGGTGGGGGAACAGTGTCTACAAGACAGGCCTTTTTGATGAGACTGTAGATACAAATTTAGATCTGCCCAAGTAAACAGAAATACAGCCTGCCTTCCTCACAGTGTGACAGGCTAGGGGAGCCTTCTGGGTTAAGAGTGTGTGGCGTTTCTTTATGGAAACACCGTGTTCCTTCGGGTTCTAGATAGAAGAAAATCCTGGCAGGCGCAGTGGGCTGTGGTCCCCAGGCGTCTCTTGGATGGAGATCACTCATTTCCACTTCCTTCTCATCTGTTTGTTCCCACCCTTCCTTCCTTGTTCATTCCGGAGCTGACCCGACAGCATCCTGGGAGCCATGCATCTTACTCGTCTGGGGAAAATAATTCACACTTATTCTTTCCTAAGGGCGCTTAGCACAGAGCTTGGCCGTTAATAAACACCAACAAGATGAATGAATGGGTGAGTTTCCCCCCTGTATTCCATTACTCCTTCAAGTCTCCAGTTAGATGGAGCCTCTGGGCTGTCTTTCTAGCATCCTGCATCCATCCAGACTTGTTTGGGAATAGTTATCCTGGAAGCTGGCACTAGCGGGCTGTCTTGCCTTCTTGGACTCACCCCTAATGGGTAGCGTTCCGTCACCATGGAACCCAGTAGGTCACTTCATTTCTGTATGCTTAAAAGATTCTTGTCACTCATAACAGCTAGCTTGATGGCCCTGTCTTCAGGCTCCAACCCAAGAACAAAGGGATGATTGCAGATACTCACACAGACACATCCTGGCGTGGGGTAGGCATTGTCTGGAAACAGTCAGATAAAGCAAAATTAATTATAATGAGAAAATAGAACCTAAAAAAGAGAGTTTGCCCTCAGACAGAGAACCCCATGAATTTATAATGACTAAGATTTGTTTTCTGCTGAGGAGAGACCATTAATTATCAGAGATTGACTCTGGCAGACTGTGACTGAAAGCTGTGTGAAGACTGTGATGAGCAGTGGGGGTGGGGGTGGGAGAATTTAGCTAAGTCAAGTCAGGATTGCTGGTGAGGGGGTTGATATATGTGTGTGTGCATATATGTATATGTATGTATGTATATACATACATATGTATGTACACACACACATATATATCAGATGAGCAGAATCAAGGCAGTTGTAGCAGCAAAAAGCAATTGTTCTTGGGGGACTCATCTATACCATGAGACTTTGAGGGGCCAGGGTATGAATATTTCCTACATTAGCTATCGTTTTTTACAGAAAGAAGAATTTTTTTTGGTAAACTTTAATTTTATATTTATTTATTATTTGTGTAAGTACATGCAAGTGCATGAGCATGTATGTGCTCGTGTGTGTGTGTGTGTGTGTGTGTGTGTGTGAAGGTCTGAGACCAACCTCAAGCACTGTCCACCTTGTTTTCTTTGAGGCAGAGGCTCTCACTGCAACCTGATTAGGTAGCTACCAGGCTAGTGAGCCCCAGGACACCCGCCCCTGCATCTTTAAACCCTGAATCACGTAAGTGTGCATTACCATACCTGATGTTTTATAGAGAGAACCAAAGGGAAGACCCTAGATGTGTGAGATGGCTGTCTGCTTCCTAGCTGCTTCTGGTCTCGTTGGGGGTCACAGGAGACATGGTAGAGGGACTTTAGAGCTTAACAAAAGGACAGCTGTGTAGATGTGACGTGGGTGTGTAAAAGACAAGCTTGCAGAGCAGGTGAACAGAGCATGAGCTGACCTTGAAGAGAGCAGAAATAAATGTTGACATTGAAGAGGGGGTCGACAGCATATCTGTGTTGAAGAGAGCGTGATTAAAAAGTACCTGAGGTGCACACCTTTAATCCCAGCACTCGGGAGGCAGAGGCGGGCAGATTTCTGAGTTGAGGCCAGCCTGGTCTACGGAGTGAGTTCCGGGACAGCCAGGGCTACACAGAGAATTCCTGTCTCAAAAACAAACAAACAAAAGGTCCTGTGGCAATACGAATTGTGGTTGGGCTCTGTAAGGACTGGTCCAGGAGAGCAGGGGGAAATCTAGAGAATCATTGTTAAACAGGAAATATGTTGACAATTGGTTTGGATCCTGGCTTCTAAAGTAATACATATTCATTAGCAGGAAAGTGCAAACGAAATACAAAGTCACCATTTAGAGACTGTCCTTGCTACATTTTGGGAAAGCATCATACTGGACATGATGTGGGAAAGGCTGCTTGGTACGCCATGGGCCCTTCCTCAGAGTCCTTTGGTGATTTCGCTGGGCAGAAGACCCAGTTTCTAGTCTCCCTTTCATGAAGCGTGCCCGGGCGATTGTTTTCTAGCTACTGGACGTGAGCAGAAGGGATGTGAGTAGTCTGGCTCACCCTTCTAAAGGATGGGCGGTGTCTGCTTCTTCCCTTAGCGCCTCAGATGAAGACAGGACTGGAGGGAGACGTCAGAGACCACGTGGTAGAGGAGGATGAAGGAGTGAACAGAAAGATGGAAGCTGCGTCCTCTGCCCTGTAGATTCTTTATCAACTCTACACCCTGTTAGTTTCTACTTTTGTAATTCGCTAGTATTAAAAAAAAAAAAAAAAAAGCCAGGTGTTGGTGGTGCACACCTTTGATCCCAGCCCTCATGAGGCAGAGGCAAGCAGAGGTCTCTGAGTTTTAGAAACCCTGTCTTGAAGAATCAAATTAAATATAAATAAAAATGAAAGTCACTAGTATTTTGACCTTTTAGAATCTGAAATTATGCCTTCACCAATAATCTTGGTTTTGTTTTTTTTTAAATTTAACTAGTGTTAATAACATTTTCTAACCAGAATTTGACAGCATGGCTATAGAATGGACCCAAAGTATTTCATTCTACATATGTATTGTAATTCATTTATCCTGTTTATTTTTATTTTTGGTGTGTGTATGTACATGTGCATATAGGTGTGAGGTGTATATGTGTGGTATATGCTCATGTTTGTGTGGCATGTGAGGTGTATATGTGTGTACATGTACATGTTGTGAGGTGTGTATGTGTGGTGTATGGTCACGTGTGTGTACGTGAATGAGGTGTATATGTGTGGTATATGCTCACCTGTGTGTATATGTGTGAGGTGCATATGTGTGGTATATGTTCACATGTGTGTATATGTGTGAGGTGTATATGTGTGAGGTATATATGTGTGATGTGTGCTCACACATGTGTGTGAGTATGTGGGTGTGCAGAGGCCAGAGAAGGACACTGGCTCTCCTGTGCTGTCACTTTCTGCCTTATGGTCTGAGACAGGGTCCCTCACTGAACCCAGAGCTAAGCCAGAGATTCTCCTGTCTCCGCCCCTGTAGAGCTTGGGTTACAGGCTCACACGTGGCCACGACTGGCTTTTTTCATGAGTTCTGGGGATTTGAACGTGGGTCTTCCTGCTTGCAAAATGAGAGCTCTTTTTTTTTTTTTTTAAAGATTTATTTATTTATTATTTATACAGTGTTTTGCCTGCAAGTATGCCTGCAGGCCAGAAGAGGGAGCCAGATCTCATTACAGATGGTTGTGAGCCACCATATGGGTGCCAGGAATTGAACTCAGGACCTCTGGAAGAACAGCCAGTGTTCTTAACCTCTGAGCCATCTCTCCAGCCCAAAATGCTCTTATCCACTGGATCACTTCCCTGGATCCAAATGCTGGTTTTTGTTTTGTTTTGTTTTGTTTAGGATTTTATTATTTTTACTTTTCCACTAAATGTGTATGCTTGAAGATACATCTTTAGACAGAATTGTAAGTATTTCTTGGCACATATTCATAGAAGTTGAATTTCTGGATTCTAAGTTTCCACATTTTCAGGACTTCAATTTCCAAGAGAGATTAGAGTAACAGAACCATATATATGCCTGAGACCAGATTTCTCCAGTTCCTGAATATGAGAAGTGTTGTAAAAAATCCATGGGAACTGTGGTGGCTTGAATGAGAATTGACCCCCACAGGCTCATAGATTTGATTTCTCAGTCACCAGAGGGTGGCACTGTTTAAAAGGATTAGGAGATACGGCCTTGATGGAGGAAGTGTGTCACTAGGCGTGGGCTTTGAGGTTCCAAAAGCACAAGCCAACCCTAGTGGCTTTCTCTTCCTGTTGCCTGCCAATCCCAATGTAGAACTCTCAGCTCCTTCTCCGGCACCATGTTTACCTGCATGCCACCATGCTTCCCACCCTGATGATAATGGACTCACCCTCTGAAGCTGTGAGCCAGCCCCAATTAAATGTTTTCCTTATAAGAGTTGCCATGGTCACGGTGTCTCTTCACAGCAATAGAACACTGACAGAATGATAGGTTTTCAAGAGCTTAGGAAACTAGGTAGAAAAATCTTAGTTTTGATTGGTACTGGAACCAGATTCTTTTTTTTTTTTTTCTCTGTGTAATATTCATCTTTATGTGGCTTTTTTTTAAAATATATTTTATTTTACAATACCATTCAGTTCTACATATCAGCCATGGGTTCCCCTATTCTCCCCCCTCTCACCCCCTCCCCCTACCCCCAGCCTACCCCCCATTCCCACCTCCTCCAGGACAAGTCCTCCCCCGAGGATTGCGATCAACCTGGTAGACTCAGTCCAGGCAGGTCCAGTCCCTTCCTCCCAGACTGAGCCAAGTGTCCCTGCATAAGCTCCAGTGGAACCAGATTCTTTTTAGATGTGTCTTTCAGCGGCACCTACACTGGCCTCAAACTCCGGATCATCCTGCTTTAGCCCCCAAAGTGCTTACCCAAGGCATGGACCACCATACCTGCCTTGGAAGATCCAATACAACAGGACTTGAAAGGAATGTTCTAGGATGAACATTCAAGTCAGAGGTACGGTACCTAGTGGAACACCGAGACCAAGGCAGCCCAGATGTGAGGGAGAAAGGATGTCAGCATGAATACTCCCGTAACAACTGAGTGAGGGGCTGGAAAACTGGTCCAGTCGTGAAGAGCAAGAACTGCTCTGGCAGAGGATCTGATTTCACTTCCCAGCACTCACAGCAGGTAGCTCACAGACAGCTGTAACCCCAGGTCCAAGGGCATCCGATGCCTTTGACTTGGAGGGTACCTGCATTCATGTGCACGTTCCTCACCCACCCCCAAGACACACAAACATACACACGATCAAATAATAATTCGTTTTAATCTGGGGTTAAAAAAGAGAGAGAGAGGGGTATTACCAACACTCGGGAGGCAGAGCCAGGTGGGATCCTCTGTGAGTTCGAGGCCAGCCTAGTCTATAGAGCGAGATCCAGGACAGGCACCAAAACTACACAGAGAAACCCTGTCTCAAAATACAAACAAACAAAAAACCCCAAAATGAACAAAAATAAAAAGAGAGAGAGAGGGGTCCGATGACATGGTTTGTGGGTAAAAAAACTTGTCACCAAGCCTGATGGCCTGAGTTTGATCTCACAGGACCCACACTGTGGAAGGAGAAAAGAATCTCCTATGAGTTGTCCTCTGTATGTGCACTGTGGCCTGCATGCCACTCCCTTAAAAAAGAGAGAGAGAGATAAGTCTAATTATAAACAACCCGAGTGAGACCCAGACTGTGGATCAGACAGAGAAGAGGCGGCATTTAGCCCTGGGACTGAGAAGACATGTGAGGAGGGGACCGGACCTTCAGGTAGAACTGGGTTGAATTGTGTTCAACAGGTATCTACTGAGACTCTCTTTTGTGCCTGGAAGACAAAGTCCTCCTTTTCACAAACCAACGGTCTGGAGAGAGGGATGGGCAACCGGAAGGTAACAAGTGAATGTTTCAGGTCTAGGTGGAACAGTGGAAACGCTGAGGAGCTAGCGTGCTCGCTGGAGTTCAGCAGGAGAAGAGGTGTCGGGGAGCTCCCCAGGGGCCTACATTGGTGGCCTTCCCTGTCCTGGTTTGATTCTCTGAGCCTGGGGCCTCTGGTGGGATGGGGGTGGTGGTGGAGATGAAGTGTGCCACTGCTGCACAGAGGTTGGTGAGGTACCCAGGAGAACTACCGTCCCAGCTGCGTGCGCTCCTTCTAGAGGTGCAGGGTGATGCAAAGCTCACTTTGGCCGCACTACAGACGTGCAGGTCCCTGGGCTGCGCCGCCGCGGCTTTGCGGATGATCCACACACACTTGGCCGCTGACTCGAAGCAGCTCCTCCTTTCCATCCATATGCTGCTTCCTCAGACTCCCCCCAAGTCTGGGAGAGCAATCACCTTTAAGAACTCCCAAGTGTGCCTGCTCGAGGCACACGCGAGGTAAGGAGCTCGCATTTCTCTCCTCAGTAGAGCCTGAGTGGGACCCGGGGAATGACGGCTGTCGACAGCTTTGGGGAGCGTGAAGGAGACTCAGCATCGCCACCGTCATTACGGAAACGTAAGCCAGAGCCACAGTGAGATGCCACTTCCCAGCCGTCAGGACGGTTATTACAAAGCAAACGGAAGATGGCTAGTGTTGGCGAGGAGCCTGCCAATGGGAATACGGAGGGGCATGGGAGCTGTGGAGGATGAGACGGATTCCTCAAAAACTAAACACGGAATTCATTAGGACCCAGCAATTCTGAGTAGATTCCCAAAAGAAGTGGAAGCGGGGACAGAAAGAGGTTGTCTGCACTCTTGTGTTCGTAGCGGCGTTGCTGGGGGTGCAGCCTGGCTCGAGGTGGCAGCCCGGGCTTGGGATGGCTGCCTGGCGGAAGCCGCATTAGTTACTTTTCTCATTGCTGTGCTAAAACACAGCTGACTGAAACCACATACAGAGGGAGGGTTTGTGCTAGCTCATGGTTTGCAGGGGATACAATCCATCAAGGCAGGAGGGCTTGGCCCGAAGCAGTAGAAACAGACCTCATCACATTGTGGCCTCCCGGAGGGAGGCAGAGAGGAGAAGGGAAGTCGTGTAGGCTATATCCCTTCAGGACCTGTCCTCAGTGGACTACATCTGTCAGGTAGGCTCCACCTCCGGGGGCTTCCACACCCTCTCAAAATGTTACCACTGGCTGAGTACTTTGAGCCTCTGGTTGACATTTCATGTGCAAACTGTATCACAGCCCAATGATGAGTGGACAAATAGAATGTGGTTGGACATAAAGGGGGAATGTTATTCAGTCTCGAAGAGGAACATTCGACACACGTTCTAACACAGATGAGCCTTAAAGACATGATGTGAAGTGCAGCAAGCCAGTCACAAAGGACAAATACTGTACAATTTCTCATTTATGAAGGTCCATGGGCAGGAAAGTTCAGACACATGGAAAGCAGAGCCATGGTGTCCAGAGGCCGAGGAGTGAGGTAAATGGGGAGCTAGTGTATAACGGGTATAGAATTTTGGTTAGGGAGGTTAGAAAAGAATTCGGGAGAAACAGGCAAAAGACAGGTTGCAATCAAAGCCGTTGGCCACACAGAATTGAATGCAAGCAACCTTGAAAAATTATTACAGCTGGCAGCAGAGACAGGGAAAAAGCAGTTTCTGCAAGCCATGGCAAAACTTTACTTTTAAGCAGTTAGTTGTTTTTTTAAACTTAATTTTTTTTAATCAATGGGCTAAAAGTAAATGGTAT